CRTAAAACTCTAGGTTTTGATAATTTCGAATGGCTTTCATTACACAGACACACACACATGCACAATCTAGTACAGCTATCTTTATGAGGACATTGCATTGACTTCCATTCTTTTCTACATCACCCTGACCCCTTACCTTAAACCTTAAATCTAGCCTAAACTCAGTTAAAACCTTAGTCCTAAACCTAACCCTAACCCACCAATGGTATTTCCCCCCATGAGGACTAGGCTTAGTTCCCCATAAGTACTAGTTGGTTCCCACAAGTAGGGGTGTATGCCAAAAATAGTGCCCACATAGTGGGGAATGCCCRCCTGCAAACATACTCTTGGTAGTGCCAGGGAAATGTTTACACAGACTAAAATTTAAAATCCTAAAATCGTATGTGTCATTTTTTTAAAGAGCCCTTGAAATGAAAATATGTAAGTAAACCGAAAAACTGAAATTGAATGAGGTAGTTTGTTATTTGAAGACAATATACAGACAWGTTGGGAAGYATTTCAACTTTTCAGAACTTRTATTTTTGTTGCATATATACAAAAYGTAYCACCAGAARGTCTTTAAAAGAAGTTCTTTACTTGTAGATGATTGGGGAAACAAATTAATCAAATCAAAATATTTTTTTCCTTCTTCTGTTTCCTGAGCAAAATAATTTTTTGTGATAAGCCTATATCAGCTGAAGCTTTGTGATTTTTGGCGCCTGTCACTGTGGCTTGTTGAACCTGGGTGTGTAATATTGTCACACTAACTTCTGAGTTACCAATCAAAACAGAATCACAGCATCACTTCAGCTTTAAATCCAGTTTTCTATAACCAGACTTTTCCTACTGTTTACTACAGACTGCAGCTAAGGACCACTGTGAGCGTCCTCAGGAATGCTYCTCCAACATAGATCATTTGAAAAACAAAGTGGCCGGTCTCTAAACAACCCGGGGTAACTTAAGCAACTGAAGACTCTTCTGAAACYTGTTAATCGTCACACTGATTCAGCAAACTGAACAACAGTGAGCAGAGGCACAGCTGAAGGAGAAAAGAACTGCTCCTTGTTGCCCAGAACAAAGAATCAAAGAGATAAATGTTTGAAGAAAGACAAATAAGAGCCTAATTATGTCTGTTCAACTTAGTGTTATCAGGATGTTTGTATGCTTCTAAGTCACAGTAAGCTGCCTTAATGAATAAACAAATCTACCAGCAGAAAAAGGAAAAAAAAGTTTTATGTTGAGCAACCAGCATAATAGCAAACTCAAACTCAAGGTCAACAATAGATTAAGAAATTAGTAGACAAAGATGAAGTTGTGGCTATTTACTGTATTTGGTGCTGAAACAAACAACCCTTAATTAAAATACCAATTTAACTTGAGCAACTTAATTTAGACAAAATTATTAATTGGTTCGATCAAAGTGAAGGTAATAAATTAGTTCAACATCATAGTTCAAGTCAACTTAAATGGAAACATAAGAAACAAAGAAAAGTCCACTTCTCCTGTGACTGTTTGTGTGTGCAACATTCCTTTCCAATCTCCTCTTCACACCGTCCTGTCAGTTTCTATTTTAAACTTATTGTTCAGCCAGTAGCACGTCGCCCGCTTTCATACCYGACTGTTAAGTGCCAGACGTTATGCCCAGACACATTAAAATTTTTTATTGGAAATACTATTTAAATTTTTTTATATCATCTTTTTGATTGGTCGTTTCTTCTTCCCAGCATTGAAAGAATTTTGCACAACARCACACAGAATTCACTACCCAAGCTTTACAGTTTTATTGTTAAAATATTTGATTTCTTCAATTTGTATTAAGCAAGGTGAAAAGAGAAAAGCATTGTCTGGCAAGAAGTGAAGGTCACAAGGACCTGAGGAACGTCATTGTGAAGCTTTACTACAACAGAAGGGTGGGGTTCAGTTCCACATGCAGATCTTTCCTCACGCTTTCATGCAGGAATGCAAACCTTTTCTATGGAAAGAATCAAAATTCCTGTCACTGCAGTTCAATGAAACATAGGCAGTTTTCACAGTTTTATTTTACAGGAGTCACATAAAAATAGTTTTAAACTAAAAACAAAGATAACCTTAAGAGGCTCAAAACTGATACATACTGTCAAGAGTCATCTAGTCATCCACAGCTGGGTGACAAGTGTAGGCTAGTTGTTTTACCATTTCTAAAGTATTCTGGCTTTCAGGAAACTGTTATGCAGGTAACCGTTACAAACCCTATTTTAAAGCATATCTGTTAAGTGATTGTGTGATAGTCCAGAGGTGTTTGAAACTGCAGTGGACTTTGTGACCAAAACAAAGAAGACTAACTTCCCTTTGAAAATCATTTATGCTGAGTGGAAGAGTTTGACGTCAAAAAGAACCTGTAACATTTTTAATTACCCTCGAGTTTCTGGTACWGTTTAATCAGACATCCTAATATGAGCCTCAAGTTGTTGCTTATTTTCTTCCTTCTTGTAGCGATGCTTCATTAGCATACATTCAATGACGTCTGACGTCAGTAATGTTCAGGCATGCAGCCCAGTGCTCCTCCCAGCAGCATTTCCTCCCTCCTTCCTTGCTGCTGGACAGGATGGTGTGTGTCTGTGTGTGTGTTTGTGTCTGTGTGCGTGTGTGTGCGTGTGTGTGCGTGTGTGTGTGTGTGTATGTGTGTTTTCTCATTTGCTCTGGTCAACATTCTCCCTGTCTTTGTTCAGAGACATACATGCTCTTACAGTGAGCTTCATGTTTAAGGTTTGTTCAGTCTGTTTCTGGCGTGAAGTAAATATATCTTTACTGTAAAAACTGGATGCTGYTACATGATGTAATGTTTCACACAAAGCAATCATTTCTACTGCTGTTGGGCCAGCAGTGAGGCTTATGTCTGATGGTTCCCTGCTTCAGGGAAAACTGAATCTATGATTCAGTCTTAATGGAGACAGCTGGATGTTTTCCTCCTGAAAATGTTTCACTCATCTAAGAGTCTTTTTGTACAAGACCAGTTTAACACAGATGGCCTCTTTCACTCCTCTTCACAAAAATGTGCCTTCTTTTCTCGCTCACTGGGCTTGATTGTCTCAAAYACTTTTTTGTCCTTCAGCTGTGGGTATGTCTCGTCTGTGAACAGTGTGAACTGTGCTTTGAAGCAAACCTGTTTTGTCTCTGCTGTATACAGTAAGGTTTTGTGTGAATTATGCTTCACTGAACTGTAGATAAATCACCACTCAAATGTGTTTGAGGTCTCCATTCTTTGGGTGACTGACTCCACGGGAGCTTAAAGCCTGAACCCATGAAGGCTGAAAAGCTTTTTGGATCAAATGTGAACTTCCTTCACAAAGCAAGAAAAAGTCAGTTTCTCWTCCTTTTAAGTGCCTAAAACCGTCCTGAACTGARTTACAGATTTAACATTCACAACCATTCATAGGCTCCCTTCACACTGACCAGGCACAACAACTAAGTGATGTTGTTGTGCACAAGCCTCACATTATGAATGTGTTACCACTGGGCTTTCCCATTTTGATCTGAAATCTTGCTGTTTTGTTTTGTTATTTTTCACCACGGTGAGCAAACTTGCACAAAAGGTTTGAGAATTGTTTTACACCAGATGCCCTTCTTAACACAACCTGGGCTCAAACCTCAGTTTTTTGAGACCGTGGCCCTGACCACTGAGCTACTTCAGCCTCTCTTTAAAACTATATTTCAGTAAAATGCCTAAAAATGTATCTATATTTATGATATCACTTGTCCCCTTTCATGTCAGAGTTTATTAAATGAAAATTGTCTTATACTCACTGGAAGAATATGCACTGCCACTCTACTAAATCAGTGAAATATGTTTTAGAGGACCACAGTTAGCTTTAAGTAATGTCTTGTGCATCAAATTCTCAAGATCTCAGTTCAACCGATCATCTGTGGGAAGTTATGTATTAACAAAACATGTCTGATTTATGAAGGCTTCAGATCTTCAGGGTATTTGCTTTCAAACTATTTATTGCCATACATGACAGCAGACCTTCAGGGTTGTAATAAAGTCATGTCTTTGAGAGGTCAGGTGTGTTTCGCCTTCAAAAATGGGACTTGGTTGTTTTTAGGCAGGTGTTCCTAATGTTACAGCAAATAAATGAATTAGAGCAGGTAATATAAAACAGCAGGGATGCTGCTTTCTGCAGTCAGCTGCAGAAAGATGGATTAAAATGTATAAAAGGAATTATAGCATTGTGAGTATCAAAGTTCAAAGGTTTTTGCTAAAATCCTAAAGCTGATAAGTCTGACAGAAAGGTAAACTTTAAAATGTTAGTAACTGGAACTCCACTTCCAGTTAAGAAACAAAAATTTGCAGGCTATTTAATTTAGTTTTCACCATTTTGGCTTTGTTCTTATAAAACTGAAGCCAAACTGTCTTTTTTTATTTCACACATTCCAGGTTAATGTRCAGAAGAAAATTGCAGTGTAGTTAAATTTAGGTTTTTGAACAAAATTCAAACAAGAAATCTTTCTTTTTGATTTTTTTCCTTTGGTTTCAGTGATAAACAAATCTAGCGTCGAGACTATTTTATTGAAACACCCTTTGCTCCATGTTTCATGTGTTTGTTGATTCTTACACTGCTGCCTCTTTGGGAAAACGTTCAGTTGGCACTGAGTTTTGTGTGAAATGACTTTGCAGAAGTCACAAGGCTGTGATATAAACACACACCCTCACACACACACACAGTTTGGGAGATCTGGCACAGCCATTATGGTTTCTTTGCCCACAGTTTCTCACATGGAGATTCTAAAACCAGCAGCACCAACCTGTAGATAAAAGTAGAGCAGACCGTTGGTAGGATACAGTATGATGTCATTCTGACATCTGTGTGACCTTTATAATTGCTTCGTTGCAACAGTAATGACTGATTGGAGAGATGCTAAAATTTTTAGTTGACAAGAAAAAGCTGAAAGTCAGATTATGTTGGATTATGACTTAACAGTATGGTTTTCTGATGATAAATAAAAAAATCATCAATGTTTCTTTCATTTCTTTGTGTAGATTACTGCCTTCCTGATGTAAGGAGCTCTGCCCAGAGTCATGGTTTCAGTTCCAGGTCTATGATCTGCTCACCCACCCGGGTCATGGCTGTAAGTACACATTTACAGATACAAGACCTGGAGATAGCAGAAGTCTGTAGAACTTGGTGTTTAAATAATGTTAAATCCTTTACTGCTTGTTTAATGTTTCTGCTTTCAAACTATTTAGTGTTAGTTAATGGTGTGTCGTTTTCCATTTGGACTAGCTGTGTTGTCAGTTAAAGGTTTAATATATTGGAATAGTTTGTCTTATAAAACCTGAGACCTCTAATAATCTGTATATCTGCATATTTCCTTTATTTGTATGTATTTATGAGACTTGTTTAGCTTTCTTAGTTCATATGTGTTTAGTTTAGGCCCTAAGGTACCAGAGGCTGCAAAAATGTCTCCAAAGGTTCAAACAAAAAGTACAAAAATGAATCGTTATTCAAAGTTCCATGCCATACTCTTCTATAGCACAGCCAGTGCAGCAAAACCAGTGTACTTGTTTTAGATCAGGGATTATTATTATTATTATTATTATTATTATTATTATTATTATTATTAATTTTTTTGTTGCTTTTATACTCACAACGCTAATAAATTGTATGCAAATTTGTGATCAATACTACTAATACAAAAATACTAATACAAAAGTGAAACGTTAGCTCATGCTAGCCTGTTTTCTACCTAAATCTTCTACAGTATGATCTTTCGCTCAAATCCATCAGGATTATCTTTAAACACCTTTAAGACTACATATTAATAAGAATTAGAAAAAAATGTTTGACTAGGTCAGCTGTACTGGTTTTTTATGAAATTCTGTATAAATTATAGTCAGTATTTTTCTTCTGCATGAATATGTTTTTTTTTTTGTTCAGTCCTGAAATATAAAAATGATAATAAAATTCACAATATATTTTTTAGGTTTATGTCACCTCCACTGGCCATAAAGGTTCACGGAGAGGCTTTGAAAAGGCCCACGGACCACCAGTTGATAATCACAGTTGTAGCTTATTTTGTGGCTCTGGACACATTTTATTAGTGAGCCCAGGAGCAGAAATGGCTTTTTTTACTGTAAAGGTTGCAGACACCTGTTTTAGATGCAAGAATGTATCTTTATTTCTAACTGTGTAGAATACTTGCAGAAAAGTTATGCAGAAAAGTTCCAAGTCATTCAATGACTGCACAGTGCCCAAATCCTGTGGCTGTTAAAGAAAAAAAAACATTACACATCTACCACCATGCTGGGTGGTATAAGGAGGTCGTGTTCATTTGTTTGCTGTTTGCTTTTTGCAAATGCAACTTGCCAAACCCAAGCTGTGTGGGTTTTAAGAGAAAAGGTTTTCTCCAACACATCTATACAAATGCTTGTTCAGATTTTTCTGTCTGAACTGTCATAACCTTTAGCCTCCCAATTGAGTCTCATAGAGTCCAGATGGAGCTCTTTGTTTTGTTTTATTTTTTTATTGCTGAGATGTCCACTCCTAATGTCTCTGGTAACTGTTTTAATTTTTTTTTAGCTCATACATAAGCTTTCTCATTGTAGAGTGATGAATTTCAGGTTGCCTAGCTGGGAGTTGGTCAGGAGCCAGTGCAGTACACCAAATGTGACTAAATATAACATGTAATTATTAATTAAAATAAAGTAATTCATTTAACATATTTTATGTCTTAACTGTGTCAAGCTTAAATACACACGCTCACATATTTCTACAAGCAAAGAGCAGGTATTGTCCAGGAGTTTCCTTTTGTTTCCTGCTTTGACTAATAGGTTATTTTTTAGGAGGAAGATGGAAGCCACCCTCCCTTTACACTCCACCATGAAGAACAATGCAAAGACGGAATCCAATTATAAACAGGATGCTCAACTGCAGCTTTTTACAGGCTGCTTCAACAATACACACACAGCAGTGAACTTCCTTTAGATTAGTAACCAGGTTTTAATGTGAAAGGAAGCAAAACGTGCCTGCATGTAGACACTTTTACTCACCTCAAACCTTTTTGTTGCAGTGCAGAGGAATGAAATGATTATTTTTGTCAGATGTTAAGAAAGAAATCACAATACTTGTTTGAAAAYAATTATTATGTATTGTATAATCCTAGGTGTCTGCAGTACCTTCTCARACCTTTGGGTTCTCGTCTCGTTCTGCGATGGAAAACAAGACGAGACATAGAGAAACCAGCACKGTCCAGAGCAGCTTCCACACCTCCCACATGCTCAACAGAAGCAGGCGCTCAAAGTCCCTGTGCCAGGAGGACCAAAACATATTRCCTCCCACAGCGGGGGTTTATCCAGAGAATTCCTCCATCCCATTACCTGTGCCTTCATCTGGCAGCCTCAGGCGCAGCCTCAGTGGAATTCTAGCCCAGGAAAGAGGCCACTGGCAGGAGGAGGAGCTCCCATATCAGCACATCTACAAAGGCCCGTCTCACCGCACCATCAGCCGAATCACCAACAGGCAGCAGTATTCCCAACAGCAGACCTCTGGGTTTGGTCAGGATGGCTGGCTGGGCAATGGCAAGGGGGTCACCAGTGCTGGTAACAACTGGGGAGGACAGCACACATCCAGGGCCAACCACAGCRTAAGCACTTTCCAGAATGCTTCTCTGCACCGGGCCGCCTCGCTCCACTCTCTGAGGAGTGTGGGTAAAGGAGCAGATATTGCGGATGCAGCATCCATACACAGCAACGACCCACTGGCAGAGTGAGACATCTTATTTCCTCTTTAAATTTAATACTGTGTGACAGAAAGAGTCATAATTTTGGTTGAACAGTTTAAAATGGGGTAGATTATGAAAATTTGGATAAAAAAGAGAAATCAAAAGCAGTGATTCTAAAATTTGTTTCTTATCTTGCTTTTAATGAAAACATACATTTTGGTGTTTTATGTTTTCCTCATGAGTTTCATATAAGTATGTTAAATATTTGTTTTTTCATTTCAGGTCTGTGACATATTCCAGAAGAATATAGTGTGAGGCAGGCAGTTTAAGGCTAATAATGCAGAAAAAACTGAATACTGGTAGTAGGGAGAATATTATTGCATTTCTTTTGGATCACAATGACACGAAAACCAAGTTTAAAAGTAGAAAAAAGATCTAAATGAAATGTTTTCAGTAGGGGTGGGAATCTTTTACTCTCTCACAATTCGATTAGATTCTGATTTTTGGGGCCAGGATTCGATTCAAAATAGATTTTTCATTCAAAGCTGATAATGTGAGACCATTTGTCGTTTTCCCAAAGTGCTTCCTCTTCATTTTGCACACCTTGCACATAGTTAACTTTGGGTTCATTTTCCATCTGTAGAGAAATAAAAGTTTTAGCAACATTTTTTTTCTGTTTCAGGGTTGTTTTAATTTTTAATATAAAATGAAATTACATTGTCATCATAAATATTTTTAAATAATGTTACTTGTGTTTATGCATATAGGTTGCAGAGTCTCGATATGACTACAGCTGTTAAATATCTGTCTGAGACGAAGTCTGGCTTGCAAGTTTTGGGAGCTGCCTACATACAGCACCAGTGTTACCACAGCAATGAAGCCAAAAACCAGGTTTGCATTGCTTAGACTGTATATGTTTGCTCCTATTTTGTCTCCACTAAAACTTTTTTTTGAGTATATCATACAAAGTTGTCCATTTGTTCACTATCATTTTCACCAGGTTAATCAATGTTTTCCTGTAATTCTATTTGGACAGAAAATATAGAAAATGCAATTTACAAAAGTCAAAAATATGTTATTTTTGTTTTGCTGTCTGTTGACATGTAATTTTAAAGGAGAACACACCAGATCATTGACATAAAAAAGTTTTATATATATA